TCTCTTTGCTCAATGTAAAAATACATTCTCTGGGTTGAGATAATTACTCAAAAGTGGCTTCTTTAAAAGGTATCTACTTTGTACTATATCTTTCTGAAAAATCTTTTAACTTTTCTCGAAATAATATTCTCTTTCTTCATGTAAAAATGAAACTTTTGGGAAATACTTAGTTCCCTTATACTCTTGCTTAAATGTTGGTTAAGCTCTTTCTCAAACTCCTCTCTACTTTATCAAAACTCGGTTTAAACAATTATATTTTGCTTAAAAGAATCTCCATAAGAACTCAATGAATACTCAGAGAATAGGGTTCTGCAAAAAAATAGACATGAACAATCAACTCAAGAATCTCAATGCAAGATATAGCAACTCAATAATTAGAGGATATAATTCTATAATCAATAACTCAAGAACTCATAACATAATATCAACTCATCTCAAGAATACTCAAATCTAAGGATAGAACCTTAGATTAATCTTTTATTGATTTGAAAGTAGACGTAGGGTGTGAGGACAAACTAGTCCAATACTATGATAGTCTTACATACTTGAAAGAACGAAGTTCTTTGCAAAATCCACGAAACTTGAAGAACGCTTGAAACCCTATCTTTTCTCCTCTTGGAACCTTGCTCTAATGTTTTGAAGTGTTAATGAATATAAAAGAACTTATTAACATTTTCTAAGCCCTTAACTAGTTGAAAATGCCGTGCTTTAGGCTTAAAATAGGGGCTAACACGACGTAGTTTAAATACCAAACGCTTAGGGGAAAGACCAAAATGACCTCTGCCTAAAAAATTAATGGACTGCCCTTCAAGGAAGGCCTCATGGACCGTTTAAGGATCCACGGTCCGTGAAACACTTCACTGGCCGTATAGCTATCTGTGAACCTTTGCATGTCTAATAGTGCCATACTAAAATAGGCATAACTTTTTACTATGTACTTGGAAAGAGGCAAACATGGTAGCATTGGAAAAAGACTCAAAGACCTTTAATATGATAGGTCACGGGCCACTTAATTCATTATGTTGAGAGATATGGTCATTTGAAGTTGACCCTAGTAAAATCTCATATTGAAACTCAATTAGTAAGAGAACTTTCAACTCAACTTTGTGCTAAGGGATTCTAGTGACCTTAATTCATATCCAAAGTCATTTCCATATTTAAATAATTTACCTTAATTTAAAAGTTGACATGTGACCTGTAAGGACCCCTAACAGGCGGTACAAGTCACCACAGGATGCCTAGAGTCCCGTCCAGGTGACTCAGATCCTGGCAATCCCGAACGGTTGGGATACCACCCCTAAAAAGACTATTTAGGATTATGTGAAGGGTCCATGGTCTGTCCTGAGTTTGTGGACTTTCCTATTAACCCTCTTTAGCCTTTCTCGAAGTCTGAGGTGTTATAGGTGTGTTTGACATCACTTTGTTTAGGGGTTGTTGGGGATACTTGGTGGGTACCTCTATTGTTTTGGTATTCACTTTCTTGCCTTCTACGCTGTGTAGGTTACAAACCTAGTTTGTTCGACCATTTACCTAAGCTTGCTCATTGGAGTTTGTGAGGTAGTTGTTAGTCATCTTGGCAGATGTCACTTACTTTTTGGTTATGTTCTTATACTATTACAGTATTGGAGACATTCAGGCTTGTTATTTTACAAAGATCCGTATGATTATCTAATTTGGCTTGTACACATGACACTAGATTCTTTATATATATATATATATATATATATATATATATATATATATTATGTATAGTTCTTTAATTCTTTTCTTACTTGCACTTTTACCCTTGTCGAAGGTTATTTCGACTGACCTTTCTTGGTGTGATGAGGTAGGTATCATTACACCCGATTATCAAGTCGTGACATTAACTTAGATAAAACGAGGAAAAGTGTAGAAAAGATCACAAGCCTATAGATTCTTATCAACTACAAGAAGTCTTGATGGGTCATACGTGGAAGCAATCCATAGATGAAACTTCTGAAACTTGGAAGAATTGAATTGGACAAGATGAGCCTTAATATGATTAGTAGAAGTGTTCACGGTTCATTAACAACTTTCGTAGTTCCAAGGCCTGAAACTTCAGAACCTTTAGTATGTTGGATTGACGATCGAGCAATATGGTTAGTAAAAGGGACCACAAGTCATGGTTGGGTCTCGTAGACTAGAATTAAGAGAATATGTATTTCAGTACATTTCTTTCTATGAAGAGATAATGCATATCGTATAATTAATTACGAGTTGTAGAAGGTTTTCATATTTCAAAGTTCAAAATTCAGGAATTTCACTCTTTTTCTACAAGAAGGAGTCCATGGTCTGTAAAAGGGACTACGATTCATAGATGACTTCCGATAGATTTTAATTAAGGGTCTTTTAGTCTTTTCCACTCTTTTTATCCCTATACTACGTCGTTTCAGCCTATTCTAAGTGGGAACAAAAGGTTCTTAACAACCCTAACCCCCCCCCCACCCCCATTCTCTCATAACTCATCTAAAATCAATTTCTTCTCTCTCAAATCTTCTCCTTCAAGCAAGCTAGGGATTCAAACTTTAAGCCTTCCACCCAAGATTAAAGTAGGATTTCATTCAAGGTATGTGGAAAATTCATCAATGGGGTTCTTCTTCACCCATTGAGTCCCCGAGAAACCTCAATTTCTTAAATTATGTTTCCAAAAAACTAGGGTATATGTGATCTTCATAGGTTGTTAATGAAGTTCAGTTTTTCTTTATGATTTATCCTCAATTGCATAAATTGATTATAATTTCACGTTTTCAATGATATTTTCATCAATCCAAACATGCAAGTATATTCATGATCATAATTATGCTATTTTCATATGGATGTCTTAGATTATCAGATTTTCATGAACTATGATGCTTTCGAATAATGTATCACTCAGTAAAGACTTATATCAGGAATTTAGATGCTCTTCTATTAAAGTATCTTTCAGATTATGTTCAAGTTATAATGAATTATGAGTTACTCATTATTTATCAGATTATCAATATGATTCAGTAGTACAAATTATTACTGTTTCCAAATTTATGCCTGATTCCGTTGGGAGTATAGTTAGCCGAGTTGGACTAGGGTCGATTACCCAAGTCCTAAAACTACATGCCCTCGTAGGTTATGCCTCAAACATACATTAGCTAGTGGATCCATCTTAGCTCAGATGTCATGGTCTTTACCTTGGAAAGTATGACACTCTCTTTTCGGTGTGGGAGTAGTACACTAGACTCCATGTAATAGCTCACATGGTTTATGTTGGTTTTAGGATCTCCCACAGTCAAAATTTCAGATATTACGTGACCTTGTATATATGTATTTCAGATAAGATTATTATAGTTTCATGTTATTTTACTTGGTCATTGCATCAACATATTATACAAATTCAGTATGTTCAGCTACCACATTATTTATGCATTTCCTCATACTTAGTACATTCCAAGTACTGATCGCATACATTGTTACTATATTTTTTGATAATATAGGTTCTGATACTCATTATCAGGCATGCAATTAGTACAAATCTTGTCAGATGCAGTACGTTTGGTGAGTTCTCATCTCCTCAAGGACACCACTTATGATTTCCCCTCAGTACTATATTTCAGTTTTCAGACAGTAAAGTGAGCTAGGAGTTTTTCCTAGCCCCTCATGTTAATAGAGGCTTTCCTACATACAGTTAGATTCTGCTCATGTTGTTCTTATTAGAGTCTTGTTTACTGCTACGTTAGTATATTTCAGACTCTATTCCACATTTAAATAATTCTGTCAAATTATGTTATCTTAGTGTCATGTCATGCCATGAGGTTAGCTTTGGATTACTTGTGTCTCTAAGCATCGTGTCACATTTAGGGGTAGTCTCGGGGTGTAACATAAATAAAGTGGCAAGGTCGCGTGTATGCTTCTTGACCCAATATCTCTTAAAAAAAATCTTTGGTTCATGAATGAATAGACTCAATGTGTAGGTGTGATACACAAGAAAGAAGAGATCACGTTTATGCATCTTGACAAGTGTATGTTAAAGTTGATTCGATAGTTTTAAGCGAACCATATTCAAGATTGATTTTATGTCAAGTATAATTTGATAAAAGCAACCGTGTTAGAAGCACAAAATTCAGGGGTGCCTCGTACCTTTCTCTAGGTCAACAAAATTGTTAGGGAACATGAGTATAAGAACAACAATAATATAATATTTATTTATAAGTGCGTGCAAGCGATGCTTGAGACTAGTAAGGCACTATCCTAAGAAACTATTTCAACTCTATGAAATGTTTGTCTAGCATTAAACAATTCTTCTCTATAAGAGAAACCAGGGGCAGATCTATGAAGGGGTGTGGGGGTGCCACGCCACCCCCAAACTTCGACGGAAACTCTATATATACATAGGTATATATATAATATTTATATAAATATAAAGTGTGCCACCCAGAGAACAAAATTGGCTTGTGGTGCCACGGTAGGAGGGCAACTTTAGAAGGCTGATGTTGCGGGTTTGAATCCCATTTGTACCTATTTTTTTGAGAAATTTGTTGCATACGTTTTTTAAGAAAAAAAAGAAAGGCTCCAAGCACGCTCTTTTAAGGAAAAACAGCTGGCACATTTTTATTTTTTTTATAATTGTTAATCGATAAGTCTATTTGGCACCCACAGACTCTAAATCCTAGATCCACCACTGAGAGAAACAATAACAACAAAATATAATTATTACAAAACCAGCAAAATGGGTGAATAAATTTTTGTTACTAAATAATTGCTTGGTTCTTCGTTGATCCTCAGAGAGCTCATCTTCTCATTTATAGAAGAAGATATGTATGACTTTGAAATGACGAAATGTTTGAGTGGATGATAAAGAGCCAATGTGACTACATGTTACTTCACGTGAAGGGTCATATAAAGGCCAAGCCCCATCACGTGGAAAGACATAACTTGGGATACAACTCTATTTATAAAATGTGAAGTTGAAAAAAAAGAAATAGTCGTCAACTTAAATAAAGTCCCCTCTCTCTATCTCCAAGAAATGTATCTGTTTGAATTTTCTTTCCCTCTCTTGATCATCATCATGTGTTTTACTTATTCTACATGGTGGTACCTTAATAATAGATCGTGTAAATTAAGCTCATTGCCAACAAATTGGCCTATTGTTGGAATGTTGCCTGAGCTTATTCGAAATCTTCATCGCGTCCATGAAAAAACAACTGAAGTTCTTATAGAAAGTAAGGGAACATTTGAGTTTCATGGTCCTATATTTGCCAACTTCAACATGTTAGGTACTAGTGATCCTGCAAATATCCACTATATCCTTAGTAAAAATTTCTCAAACTATCCGAAAGGTGTTGAGTTCCGTAAATATTTTGATATTTTTGGAAATGGGATTTTCAGTGTTGATTATGAGCTATGGGAGATTCATAGGAAGACCACAATGTACTTAATGGGACATGCTAAGTTCCATACTTTGTTGGAGAGGAATATATGGGCAATTATCGAAAACGGGCTACGACCAATTCTTGATGATTTTGCTGAACTGGACACACTGTTTGATTTGCAAGATATTTTCCACAGATTCACTTTTGATGTTATCTGTAAATTGTTACTTGATCATGATCCGAAAAGTTTGTCTATTGGTTTACCTCATGTGCCATGTGAAAAGGCGTTCAACGACACTGTGGATGCACTACTTTATAGATATATCTTGCCAGAATGTTGCTGGAAGTTGCAAAAATGGCTTCGAATTGGTAGAGAAAAGAAGCTTATTCAAGCATGGGAGGCTTTTGATCAATTCTTATATCCTTGCATTTCGCGGAAGCAAGAAGAGTTGATGCATAAAAGTACAATCAAAGACGAGGAATTCTCATTTTTAAATGCATTCATCAAAATGTACAATCAATGGAAAGATGGCGATTTGGGTACTTTGCAAACATTTCTAAGGGATACTTTCTTGAGTTTGATGCTTGGTGGTAGGGACACCACAAGTGCAGCTCTCACTTGGTTTTTCGCCCTTATGGCTAAAAATCCCTCTGTAGAGAAAAAGATTAGAGACGAGATTCAACAACAATTGCATCTAAAAGAAGATGAAAATCTCAACTTTTTCAACATGCAAGAAACAAGAAAACTAGTCTATCTACATGCTGCTTTTTGTGAAACTTTGAGGCTCTTTCCATCAGTTGCAATTGAGCATAAACTTCCACTTGAATGTGACATTCTCCCGAGTGGTCACCGTGTTAGTCCAAACACGAGAGTTATGCTATCGTTCTATACAATGGGGAGAATGGAAAGTTTATGGGGAAAAGATTGCTTAGAATTCAAGCCAGAGAGATGGATTTCTAAACGAGGAGAGATCAAACACGAACCATCGTTTAAATTCACAGCCTTTAATGCAGGTCCAAGGGCTTGTATTGGGAAGGAAATGGCATTCACTCAGATGAAATTAGTGGCAGCTACCATCATACACAATTATCATATCCAAGTGGAAGATCAAATAATAACTCCAAGTTCTTCTGTTATCATTCAAGTGAAACATGGTCTCAAAGTTAGGCTCCTCAAAAGGGTTCCTCTTGTGTGAACAATGCTCGGGATTCAAACCTACGTGTCATGTATGTTTTGAGGATTACAGGTCTCCATTGGTTCTAAGGATGTTTAAAATACTATATATACCAAAATAAAGTAAGATTTGACCTATATATATATAATATAATTTTTCGTGTTCGGAGCCAAAAGGGCAAAACAAAATTGTCAAAAATTCCAAAAGGGCATATCAAATTTTTTTAAAATCGAAAGGGCAAAATCGCTCCTGACGAAGCAATTTCCCTCTGACACAATGACAAAATCGCTGCTCTGGCAGCGATTTTGTAAAAAAAATAAATTTCTCTTTATTAAAAATCGCTGTTAGGGTAGCGATTTTGTAAAACAAAAATTTCTTTTGTATTAAAAATTGCTGCTAGGGCAGCGATTTTGTAAAATTTAATTTTTTTTTATTTTGAGAAAATCGCTGCTATTTTTATTTTTTTTAATCGTACGACAACTTTTGTTAGAAGAAAATCGTTCCTAAAAATCGTACGACAATAGTAAAATTTAATATTTTTTATTATTATTTATGATATATAATTCAATTTTCCTCATTCTTCAACAATTTTATTGAGTATATACTGTCCATCTTGTTTATCATTTTTATATTATTAATAATTAACAATAGGCATGAAAATAATAGCTAGGCATGAAAAACGCTGCCCCTACAACGATGTGTAAGGAAAAAAAAAATTCTGATTTAAATCGCTGCCACAACAGCAATTTTTAATAAAAAATATAAAAAAAAAAATTTAATAAAAAAACAAAAAATTTACAAAATCGCAGCGATTTTTAATACAATTTTTTTTTTTTACAAAATCGCTGCCCTGGCAGCGATTTTGTTATTGCGTCAAAGGGAAATCGCTTCGTCAGGAGAGATTTTGCCCGTTTGATTTTAAAAAAATTTGATGATCCCTTTTGGATTTTCCTATGCAAGATGTCCAGCTAAACTCCTGAAACCACCGTAGCTCCGCCCCTACATGATCATGCATCTTAATAAAATACATTTGAGTACATTAATACAATTGTCCTCGATTAGTTTTTATTTTTATAAATGCATCATGAAATGTCTCAGTTTTACTTTTGATTAATATAATTGAACTCTTCTTATTATATACATATTGAAATATTTATTATTGAATGACATCGGCTTGTATTAACGTAATATTTTTTCACCATGGTTATGGGATGTTGAATCTTTTAATAACTATCTAGAAAATTTTAGTGGAGATGTTTCTCTTCCTTCTTTTGTAGTTTTTCTTTTGAGGGGTAATTACAGGGTTAAGGGTTGGACTACCGTTATAGACGAGGGTTCTCAAGAACCTAATAACTTTTATTTAGATCATAAATTTATATTGTGAAACTTTGTAGATATCTAAAAGATTATTCCATGGAACTTAAAATAGAGACTGTTGATGATGTGCGATTAAGAAGGAATCTGGAAAAACTCATATTCTAAATACGTTTTTAAATAATGACTAGTTGATGTGAATGTGTGTTGCACATTTATTTTTAATTTTTGTTATAGAATTTGTAAAATAATATAGTAAATCAGAAAAGTACTTTTGAAGCTATGCAACTTACATTTGAGGTCACCAAACCAAGAATAATCATCAACCATACAAAGACTCAAATCTTAAAATTTGAAGTCTTATCTTGTAAAATATCCTAATATAATTTACTAATATTTATACATATTAATATTTTTTCTAAAATCGGTTATTATCTAGAATCATTTCAGAATTTATTGAAATCTACCAAAGTAAACTACAACGTCATTTGAAAATCGTACTCGATCAATTAAATAAAATCACAATTGTGGTCTAAAAGTTGGTTGTGCATTAAACTAAAGTTGATTTAGTCAGTTACTTTGCATGATCTAAGCGCACTCCTAAAAGCAATAGATAAGTTAAGGAATAGGAAGACATGCACGCAATACATATATAGTCAAACAACTGGTGTGCAATGGGACTTTCTTTGCCCACTCTTCCTTATTACTTGGGTCTAATGTATTTGAGCCGATGATTTTTCGAAAATAGTCTATCTGCCTCAATGAGATCATGGTAATTAGGTCTGTACCTAATGAAATTTTACTGGGTATACTATTGTTGTTGTTGGTCTCTTTTGATGATTTTTTTCTTTCTTATCGATGTCCAAATTTATTTGTTTTGATTCTTTAAGATGCTATTCTAATTATTGGTCTTAGCTAAGCAATTAGCAGTATTATATCATATAGGATATATGTGTCTAGTTGTTCAATTGTATACAAACTTAAGTGCATATTTATGCACATTCAAAGTTGGAGGCCGTAAAAGTCAATTGAGACCAAGTTAAAGATCATATTTATGTATTACACTTTTAACATATTTGACCATGTTTCTGGAAAATCAAAAGTATCTACCTTTGTATATTAAAAATGCTTATTTTATAGATATGGAGTGTTCGATCAATTTTTTAGGAAAAAGATACAAATGTTACAAAAACTAGTGAATTAAATGTCAAAAACACTTATAAAGTATCATTTCTTTTTCTAGTTTCATATCTAAATTATTGAGAGTTTGAGAAACACAATTAAACTATCACTCATAAGTTTGAGAAACATTTTAATGTAAACCAAAAGACACACTTAATCGTGTCTGACCTTAAAGCCCTAAACTCTTCCCTTCTTTTTCAGCATTTCTTAACCATTTCTCTTTATTTCTTCATCTATATTGCAAATATTTTTCAACCTCCTCGTCCTCCTCCTCCTTTTATGTTTATTAACATCCTTCTCTATTTTGTACTTTGTTTCTTCTTTTATAGTCTAAATAAATTTGTTCTTCATTTTAATTTTAATTTTTTTTGTTACGATGGAATTCTTTTTCATGTGGCAATTTTTTATTTATTTTTGGAAGAGTGTTATACACACACTATGAGGTGTGTTTCTCACACTCCAATAGTTTAGGTGTGTTTCTCACACTCCAATAGTTTAGGTGTAAAATTCAAGAAAATGGGATAGTTTAGATATATTTTTGACGCTTCACTCAAAAATAATTTCATTTCCATAACAATTTTGGAATATCGGTCAATCACAAATCGATATTCTAATATTAGCGAAAGTTATGATCAAATGAATTGATCAAAAAATAAGTTTATCTTTAAGAATATTTTTAGAAAATATTTTCATTAAAAAAATTCCTTTTCAGAATAATATTAAAAGTTAGTCAAACATGCTATATAGGTATCGTGAGTTTAAGTTTTTATGTGATGTATGATAATTTTATTGGAAAATATCTATCAAGAACACAAAAAAAAATATGGAGAAGAACACAAATATAAAGGTTTGACTATATGAACATCAAAGTTAGAATTGAAGGTTTGAAATACGTGCAAAATGATTTCCTAAAAATTGTATTTGTTCCCTTCTCTGTGAGCTTGCTATGGATGATATGCAAATATATAGTTTAGTGGATATAACAAGCGTAAGAATTTTTTCTCTAAGCAAATAGCGAAGAAATTCTATTGAATAACAAAAACTTGAACTTGATCATTTTGGAAAAGGGGAAATGTTTGGAAAATATTGTAAAAATTGTTTTATCTATAAAAGCTAGTGAGAAATAACAAGAAATTATAATTTAACAGTGTCTTCACTATTATTATAACTAGCCACATTCACTACCAGTCTCCACCGCATAAACCACACCACAAATCACCATCATACACCCTCATCGCCGACCACCACCCTATCGATTACCACAACGCTATGTTTCTCAACTTATTTTAATTTTCACCATCAACTATATATATTAATTATTGTTAATTATGACCAAAAACTATTACTATTATCAAATTTAAGTTAAAATAAAGAAAACAATCAGATATCTTTTAATACGCTTTGAATGTTGCCTCGTTAAAAACCTTACCAGGAAAACCCAATTGGGATAAAACCATGGTTAAGGAAAAGAGTACAATGCATATTTTTCTCCCCTTGATAAAAACTTTACTTGATATCTCGAAGACGATGCATTCCAATCTTATATCACAACTTCTCAAATATTGATGTTGGCAATCCTTTGTGAATAAGTTTACAAGATTATCACTCGAATGGGTCTTTGAACATCTATCTCACCATTTTGTTGAAGATCATGTGTGAAAAATACTTTTGGTAAAATATGCTTTGTCCGACTTCCTTTGATTGTATCCTCCCTTTAATTGAGCTATCTATTATTTCCGCAAATGATGGTTAGAATATCCTTTGCCAAAGAAAAATCACATATTTTCTGAATATGATAGATCATGATTCCAACCATACACATTCCCGACTTACTTCATAGATCAATATTATTTCTATATAATTTGAAGAGGTGGTTACCAATGTTTGATTCTTTGAATGTCAAGCTAGATATTGCTGTGCCTCCATATGTAAACAAATAGCTCATTTGCAATTGAGCTTTATGCAGATCAAATAAATATTTTGCATCTACTTAATCAAACCATTCCTAACTCAGAGATTGATCATTTCAATTTTATACGTTGCTCGTCATTTCTTCTCAAAGAAAATCACATATCTTCTATGTGTTGAGTCACTTGCTTTGTTAGTTTATTGGCATAACTTGAATGATAATATGACAATCCCCTCACATAACTTTGTATATATATATATCAAATAATCTTCTACCATTTGCATAACTAACAATCTATAAGTGCACCAATTGCACTAATACATGGCATTTTAAATCATTTTCATGAGGTTGAAAAGATTCTTTCTCTGTGTTAAGCAATCTCAAAACTCTTGGGTACTCAATGGAATTATTTTAAGACCTTTTAAATCCTTCAAGAATTTTCATATAACCTTCATCGTCTAGTTAGACATGATAATTGATCATTATACATATTCAAGTATTTCATCTATTGCCAGACTGAAATAAGTCTCATTGCATCCACCACTTGAGAACATATCTCCATCTAATAATGTCAGGACTTCTGTGAAAACCCTTTATGCCCCGAGGCACAAATAATACTTTATATCTCACAGTTAT